CAGGTGCTTCAGTATCTTCAAGTGTTTGGTAGGGGTCTTTTGTTGTTGTTCTTCTTTGGTGTTTTGGGTTTTTTTCTTTTCACAGTAGCATCCCCTTGGACATCTTACATTACATTCTGGATAATGCTGTTGGCCTCTATCCAAGCGCGGACCTCAGCTAGACAGTGAGAAAACTAAAACATGGTGGCGATGAAAATGAATAGAGAGTTTTGGTCTCACCAGTGATATTGGCCAAGAGCCAGTTTTAGGTCATTATTAATGTAGCTGGGTTTTGGTAGGAATAGATGAAGGAATGGTTGCTTAATGTCCATGTCTTTTCCTAGTTCTGTCAAATTCAGTATGTCTGTCTTTAAATGATATTGGTGATAACGTAAGTGCACAGCCTCGGAACTGTTTGGTCATTCAGGAAATTCATGTGGTATGTTTTTGATGTATAGTTAAAAACAAACAGACAAACCCCCCCCAAAATCAAGTGACTTTAACAGGAATAAGTAGCCACACTTCAAAATTGTTCAGAGGCTATTCCTCATTATATCCTAGTAGAGTAAACGTGACATTTCCACCACAGGTAGATAGAGACACCTTAACATAGACATTTAGAGATGCTACTAGAGATGACCCATGGTATTTGAGATATCCCCATGGGGCTGTCAGATATGATGCAGAATGCATGGGATATCCAGGACAATCTGTGGTGGTAGCTGGAGGCCAGGCAGCCTGTGCTGGGTAAGGAATTGGCTGTTTATTTGGTAGAAAAGTATCTAGTTTTTTGTAGTGAAGTGTGCTGTGTGGAATATTTAGTTGTGTTACCATTACCATATTTCTTGAGAATTTGTCATTGAGACCCGTCTTCCGTGGACTCATAAGGCAGTAGGGTATTGCTTCATAAATAATAAAGTTACTAGCTGTTGATGTTCAATGTTAATAGGTTAGAGTTGATACTCCTTGTGAAATATGTCTAACACCTTGTAGTCTAATTTGGATTTTGATATGGAGGAAGTAAATCCTGGAACTGGGCTTGGGACTGTGTCCCCCTTACTGGTGGCATCTATTCCCTGAAGGTTAGGAGTGAGCAGCATCACCAGATTAGTGCTGCTTATTGTATGGCTGAGTCAGGTGCTATCACTGTGACATGTTTTTCCTATTACTTTTGAAATATTTTGTGTCATTCAGCCTTATATAAAGTACTTAGTTGTCAATAATTTCTGTGACTAAGAGGCCTTGTCCTCATGTCACATTGCCCCCAACTATGACAGCTGCAGTCTACAGAGCTGTGTGCTGTAATGAAGCAAGAGAATTGGAGAAAAGTAAACAATTGTTACAGTAGGTAGGCATGCAAAGATTTTTTTTTTTTTTTGAGCAGCATAGGCAACTGGCATTTCAATCACTTTGCACAAGATGTTTTGTGGCTGTCAGCTGTAATGCAGTATGATAAAATGTCATACCCTAAGGACAGAAAGAACATGAACATATACAGAAATGTCCCTATGGATAAAGGAGGGATCAAATTATAAAAACAAGTTGCTTATGTGCACTGGCAGTTAAAAACTGCATGTTTCTTTTCCTATAATCTTTTGTGCTTGAGTCCATAAGTGCTATGGAATTAAGAGTTTTATTCTGAAGAGATAACATTTTTGAGTGTATTTCAGTTCACACAAAAGCCCGGAGCTGAAAGCAGTAAACTGGGGCACGCATAGTTCATACAGCACTGAACTTCTAGTTTCTCATGCTGTGCCAATTACCTCTGTTTTACTACTAATGTATTTCAATTCTGCTTAGCAATAGCACTACATTTTTCACTTCTTTTCTATGATTTTAATATAAAACTGAAATTGTGCCAAGCAGCATCATAGCTCTGGTCCATGGGAAAATAGAATCATAGAATCATCTAGGTTGGAAAAGACCTTTAAGATCATCCAGTCCAACCATTAACCTACACTACCAAGCCCACTCTAGACTAATCAAGGGTAGACCAGACTAAACCATATCCCGAAGTGCCACATCTACCCGTTTTTTAAACGCCTCCAGGGATGGTGACTCCACCACCTCTCTGGGCAGCCTGTTCCAATGCCTGACCACCCTTTCCGTAAAGAAATTTTTCCTAATTTCCAGTCTAAACCTCCCCTGGCGCAGCTTAAGCCCATTTCCTCTTGTCCTATCGCTAGCTACTTGGGAGAAGAGACCAACACCCACCTCACTACAACCTCCTTTCAGGTAGTTGTAGAGAGCGATAAGGTCTCCCCTCAGCCTCCTCTTTTCCAGGCTAAACAACCCCAGTTCCCTCAGCCGCTCCTCATAAGGCCTGTGCTCCAGACAGGATTGAGTCTACCATGTTTGTGTTCCACATGACCTTAATTGGAACATTAGCCCATCTCCAAAGGCATATTTAATGATGTTCTTCAGCTGGCTGTGTAAACTTGCTTCCCAAAAGAAATGTAATTAGAATTTAGTAATTAGATATCCTAACAACTACAATTTTAAGATTCTCCTGAATGACTTACATGCAGAAGAGTTAAAATAAAGCAGCTTGCCCTGTGCAAGACAGGTCTATCACCAGCATGTGGTGAGGTGGGCTGCTGAGGGAATTCTGAGGCTATCCTAGGGGTTACACAGTCTTGCCTTCGTCAGAAGCGTGGCCAGCTGTTTTCACTTTGCTGGGAAAACATGAGAGAAGTGGGAACTGAAACTGCTGGCAAAAGGAAGGTTAAAAAGCATATGGGGAGACAGTTCAAGATGCTCGTAGCTTTCAGTAGGTTGCCAAGACACAATTGTAAAGCTACCAGTCTGGTAACAACCCTTAAGTGTGACCATATGTGATGCCAGAGTTGTGTGCCTGAGAAAAATAACTGTTCTGGTGAATGCTTACGCAGCTGCTGAGGGGTACAAATGTGTAGGGTAAAATAGGAACCTGTATACTGGCTCTTTGCTCCCTTGGACAGAAGCATGCTCCAGAATCTGAGCAGCCTGTCTCTAGGAAAACTTTGGAGAAGGACAAAGCTGCCCCAGGGTTTGTACTGATACTGCTTATCATATTTTTATTACTTGTTTACTACAAATAAAAATATTGTAGCAGCTGAAATATTTCAGCATTACAGATTTCATTATTTTCAGATCTGAAGTGCAGTGTGTCTAATCCTAATTGCACAATTTAAATACTAATAATCATTCAGCTGGTTGAGTCCTCTGTGTATTACAGATAATAATCCTTGTTTTAGAAAATATACATAATGGGTCCACATTAGTCATCTGTGTAATTCACTGAAGCTGAGACAAATGTAATAAAATGACCCCTGGGTAAAGAGATCTTTTTGTTTTGTTTCTGGAGGGGGAAAGTTTTCCTGAAACCCTGTCACTCCTGGGTGAGCTGATTATTTTTACTTTTGTTATATTCCTGTTTTCCACTGTACTGCAAAGCACAAATAAGCCTGTGGCCACTTGTCTCTGATGGTTTACCTCCCATATTTCTCTGTGTTAGTTTTTTTTTTTTTTTTTTTTTTTTTTTTTTTTTTTTCACCTGCGTTTTTTTTTTTTTTTTTTTTTTTTTAATTTCTATGCTCACCGAGTCTGAGCTTGCTTGCCAGTGATTGACATTCAGGACTGAGCAGTACCAATTAGATTATTTAAGTGGGTTAATTCTTCTGAAATTTTTTTGAGTTATATTTATTAGCAGCCCATCTTCCCTGTACTATACCTTCCAACTATTAAACTGCCTACAAAGCAGAGATTTAAAGAGAAACAATCTATTTCCTTTGCAGTTATAGTGAGATAACTCCTCAAAAGTGCCTTCTTTAATTACCTATATAACTTATTTAATATTGTAACAGTGGTTTGGTTGAAATACAAGAGCAAAAATATAAATAGCATATAAATTACAAGCCCATAGTTCACCTCAGGCTATTATCTGGGTGAGCTTCTCAGTCTACCTCGTGCCATATCTGAGGAAAAATAAGGATAACTTGGGATTCTGTGCCAGCAGCTGCCTTCCTCCCCCCTCCTCAGCCCTGTCCTCAGAGCTTGGGCTCATGGGATGCTCCAGCTTTCCTAGTACTGAAACACTGAAATGCTGGAAAGAAATTTGAAGGGGTAAAAATTCTGGTAATTTTTAGTGGAAGTGGATCAGCCTTTGCCAAGGCTGTCAATATAAAGACATATAGAGTTAGAGCACAGGAACTGAGTGGGTAGCAGGGGATATACATACGTTCGTGAAATGGTGGTGATGGTACAAACCAGCACCTTGCAGCCAACCTGACTGGAGATCTGGGCATAGCAGGGGAAATACCCCCCCTCCAGCTGTATGGTAATCGTACAGTAGCTGTGTGCGGCAACTGGCAGGCTGCACTTCCTTTGGGTGTGATTGGTAACAGCTCCCGGAGTGCCACTCTGCTGTTGTCTTCATGTTGCTTTTTAGTATGTCACTTCGGTGGAGGCAGGGTGGTAAGCAGACATGTTGCTGACATGACTGAAACTGCTGCTGTATTGGCGCTATGTTTGAGCAAGCACGAAAAAGAGAGAATACAAGCAGCTGACGTTTTCTTTTAAAAAAGCTTTTCTGTCTAAATTTAGAAAATTCTTTGCCAAGTCTCCCAGGGATCTTTCCAGAGACAGTAAAAGTGCTCATAAATAACCCTGCACCCTAGTAACAATACACAACACAGCCGGGATTGCTGGGATTTCAGCATCCCCTGACCAGCTGGGTACTGTGCAGCTGTCAGGGCTCTGCAGCTTTCCCAATTGTTGACTGCCTATGATTAAAGAAAATTTAGCAGAAAAGATTTTTAGTGTTTTTTTAGAATCATTGTTAACTCTTACCTAGTGCAACATTTCTTCTTGTTTAGTTGCTATCAATAAAAGAGTGAGTCCACAGTATGAGGAACCTGGGCCAGCAGCAGCTCTTTGCCAGTCCAAAACCACATTGCTCTCTCACTAGGCTCTTGAGCCTAAACAGTGTCTGAAGTCCTCGGCCCCATAATGCTTCCTTTTTTTCCTCATTTTTGCCGCAGGTAGGGGAATTCAGAGCCCATGCTGCGGAGTGGACAGCCAACGTCACCGCAGAGTTCAAAGAAACTCGAAGGCGCCTGAGCGTGGAGATCTATGACAAGTTCCAGCGGGCTACCTCTATCAAAAGGAAGCTCTCCGCAGAACTCGCCATCAACCACAATCAAGACCTGACTCCCTGCAAGAGAACCCTGTCAGTCAACCATCTCACCAGTGAGAAGGACATCTTGCCAGCTCTAACAAAGACGGACAGCATTTACATGAATGGCTTGACACCGCACTGTGCAGCAGAAGAGATAGCTGTTATTGAAAACATTAAGTAGCCGTGACTTTGGATCCCAGTCCTTGAGAAGCTCTTGGCTTAGATCAGCCATATACCTTTTTTTCTCTCCACCCTGTTGATGATCAATGCTAATAGCATTTTATATGTGTGCATGAGTTCCACAGAAACTACAGTCCAGAGTTACCATCGCATCTCTTCAAAGACACAAAGATGAATGGCACTTCTGTTATCGAAAGATGCTGGAACAAGCAACATCTTCTGCCTTTATCTGCCCAGACTGTTTTTCACTCTCCTAATGTGCCATATGGCCTCAAGAATGAATCACACTTGTTTATGGTAACAATGTAGCTTTGAGGGATCAGTCCTTAAAATTTCAGGGTCTACCTTACTGAGCCTAGGAATGGACCATTTCTGGACTACAACACATTTGTAAATGGCAAGAAGTTCTTATGCAGCCTTTTACCTAAGAAATTTTTGTCAGTGCCTTATCTTTTGAAGAACCAGAACCTCTACAGTTCCTGTATGGTTTTTTGTTTGGTTTTTTTGCATGAGAAGTGTATTTCATTTGAGCTTTCATTCTTCTTGAAACGATGGTGTTTTAAAGGTGTCTGTCGTGAAGATACCAACCAGCATGAATGAATGCCAAAAGTCAGCAATCATCAAATGATGTTCTTAGCTCTAAATTTAAAGGCACTGCAGTTTCAAAAGTTGCAAACATGTTCCCCAGAAGCATTTTGTTTTACTCAGGTCCAGCTGATACTTGTTCACACTGACTTGTAGAATTTGCAGACCCTCTTTGGGTCTTATTTTTTCAAGCAGTGTTCAGCAGTTGGTTTTTTCCCTCTGCGTCAGATGTACCAAAAAAATCTGCAGCTTGTCTATCACTAAATTATTTGGTAGATGACAAGAGCAAATAAAAAGTACTGTTTTGAGGAGAGGCAGGAAAGGCTTTTAATTGCTGTATTCTAATAACCACATCCAGAAAACAATGCAGAAAAATACAGCGATTTTTAACAAGCATAAACCTTCTGCCGATATTTGCTCTATGAAAAGGATTCTTAACTTCCTCTTTAAGTCAAGTCACACCAGACGCCATATGATATTTTACCCAGGAATCCTGCTGGAGTGCTTTCCTGAATGTCACGCTGTACAGTGGCTGCCTGTGCCGGAGCTGTGACTAACGTGGGAATGCAATTGAAACTGGTATCACTGTGACTTTCTACATTTCAAATAGAGATGGCTCTGAATATAAGTGCAGGCATGAAGAAGAGTTGATAAATAGCACAATCTGAATACCGATGATTGTTCAGACAGGATAGGCTGACAAGAAGCAGATCTAAACCAGACTATGGGTTTTCTTTATTGGTTTTAAGAAAACACGTTAACTTTAATTTTGTATCTGCTGGTTTGCTTATAGGTGTACATGAGATTTAGAAGAAATGCAGGATGGAATGGATAATTTTGCATTTTTTTTTTCTTATGTTAGTCTATTGTAACCTGGCTGTACATAAAATTAATAGGACAGGCCTTAAAGAATAATTTAGGCTCTGTGTAAATTAAAAAAGAATGGGACTTTGCTGATTGGGCATGATTCAAGTGGCAAATCTTACAGCATCTCTGACCATTAGATAACATGCAAGATATGAATGTTAATGTTTTTTGGATGCTTAGCTTGTTTTCTAATAAATATAAGTTAATATGTAAATTCAGTCAATTCATTGTAAATATCAGCCAATTAACATTTACAGAGAGTACGCTTTTAAAACTAAGGAAGTTCCATGACACAGCACCGAGCAATGCTCTTATAACAAAGACCCTTGTCTCCCCAGCACAGTGTTCTGAATGTCCACATGGCGAGGGTTTGCCTTGCCATGTATAAACTGTGAACTGTAATGAAAAATAAAGTTTTTAATTAAAATAAGCTTTTCTGAATCTCCTGCTTGCTACAACTGGAATGCTAAGAAATAATTTGTGAAACTGATTTTAGTGCTTTCGTTGGTTACAGAGTATAGCAGTTTGCCACCTGCTTTAATTTAAGCTGGTTTAGCAATAAAGGCTTGCCTCACCCAGCACGGATTTTTTTTTTCTCTTGATATTAAAAATAATGTTCTTTGATTGCTGTACCTGAAGTTGTGTTTCTTGCTGTTTTGTTTCAAAAACTTGGCAGGCCGGAGTTTCTTCTGTCGTGTGCTACAGTGATGATGGTAATTGCTCTGTCTTTGCACTGAGGGAGGCACGGGGAGCTCTGACCTGCTGCCCTGCCAGTTCTCCCGTGATGGTGGTATCCTGCAGAAGCATGTGAAAAAGCAGCTCTAAGGCAGTAGCCTTTTCGCACCAGAGCAGTCATTTCTACAGTGAATATTTTACAATGGACTCTTTAATTAGGTCTTGGCCAAGCGAATGATAGCCCGCAACTGTGTGGTGGTAAGTGAAGAGGACTGTTTTCTTACATCGTTCCAATCTGATTTGTGTGGGATGTGTCTCAGTGCCTTTTGGATCTGATTTTTCAGAAAGGGACTGGTAATGTTTAAGGTTTATTGTCTTTGACACTCAGAGATGTGACATCTTAGTTTAAACCATTGGATCATTCTAACCAGTTTGTTTCCATTTACCAGCCTATGGAAATGAGTGTCTGTGTGGTTTCTTTCATTGTTAAAATGAAACCTTTGGTCATCTCAGGATGTGCTGAAAAGAGTATGTTGTTTTGAGTTCCTGTGACAATGTTTGAGATATTAGTATGGATATTTGTTAAATCCATTCAGCGTTTACTTACCTTGATTTTATATATGATCTCTGGGAAAAGAAACCCTGTTAATTTATATATAAAAGATATTTTTTCACTTTTGTACCCGATCTAAATTATCCTACCTTATCAAAATAAGACTAGATTTGCCTCTTTGGAACAAAGCGTTAACAGAGAAAATCCTTTATTTGTAAGTTCAATAACTGAAGAAGAAGATGCAACAGTCCAGATGGTATAAGTAGATAGAGTTATCATGATCCAAATGCCTCTAGTACCATTAATGTTATTGGAAAATCTTTTTCTCCCTCTCCACATACAGTGATAGATCACAAATGCTGTGGATGGGTAAGTGAATTTATAAAACTCGATGAACTCTATAAATTTTTTTCTTTTTATTGCTGTAAGAGCAGAATTTTGTATTAAAAACCTGTGTGTCTTGCCTCTGGAAATCTTGTATAGCTGACTTTTCCCTTCCAAATATGGAGCTACAAAAGCATGAATTAGGACTTAATGAAATTCTGTTTGTAACTGCCTTCCTCTCACACACACATGAAGACATTTCCAGACTGTTAGGTACTTGCTACTTAAGCAAGTTTGTGAAAATGGTATTTCAGTTTGGTAGAGGGTTGTTTTCTCTTGTACTGCCAAACAAATACCATATTTAAAAAAAAAAAAAAAAAAAAAAAAAGACACTGGCAAAACGTTTTGGATGAGACAAGTTCTGGCATATAAGAATCTGTAAAGGCACATGTGCCACCTGATAAAATAATTTATTTCTCAGTGCTAGAGGAAACATTACATTAATAAAAATGATGTGAAATCTGCTAGAGAAGCAGCTAGAGATAATCTGTACTGTTTGCTGTTGCCTATGATAATCCTGCCTTTTTTTGCATTTTCTGGGGTCCTACACCTGGTAAAGTGTCCAAAGTGTCTATGTTGGTCAAAGCCTAGATTTTTGGACAGCCCTGCATGAGCGGCAGGGAGACTGAGTCGCAGACAATTTGTTCTATGCCCCGTTCTTGCATGAGTACCAGGGGAAGAGTTTGCTTTGGCATTCCCTCTGTGTTTTGTAGCTCTAGGCTGCCTGTCCTCCTTTTCCCAATATTTAGGCAGCCTTGAGGTGCTACCGTCTGAGCTGTGAACAGCCTGGAAGGGTCAAACCCAGAAGCTGGATCTTATAAACATCCTAGCCGTGCCTTCCTCTCTTCACCTCTTCCTGATTTTTTTTTTGATACAACAGGATGAAAGCTGGAGGGTAACATAGAAACCCACAGAAGTGCTAAACCTCTAAAGGGACCTCCCTTGAACTGGAATGGACCTTCCTTAGGTCACAAAGCAAACCTGTAAGACCAGGACAGCAGATGGGAGAAAAATCTGGTCTGTATGTTTGTTTTGAGTTCTTGCTTCTCCAGCATTATTTCTAAACCAATGGTCTCTAAATAGGAGTACAACACACCCCATGGAAGAAGAAATGGAAGGCTGCTCTACTTAGTCAACCCTTCATGCTCATCACAAGTCCATATATGTATACAATTTTATTTCCTGGGAAGGAAATTTTTCTGTCAGGGAAACTACGTATAGTGTTGAAGTACAGCAGTAATATTTCTAATAAATTGCTGTCATACAGTTATGTGGTAATTACCTTTTCTTTCCTACCTTGCAGTACTGTTTGAAAGGAAAGGATTTTATATACTAAGAAAAATACACATTTTACATGAATTTGTCAGATTTAAAGTAATTATTTTGCCATAGAAACATGAATGAGATGTTTGTGTTTGTGTTACCTTACAGATTTGAACAAACGTTGTAACCTTAATGCAAACAAAGTGTTCCACTTGGGAAAAATAGAGAAGATGCTGATTTACTGTTGTTAGAAATAAAAAGCTGTTGAGCTACACAGAGATATTAAAAATGCTAACTCTTTTATTTGAATGAGTATTCTCTGCTTTGCCAAGTTATTGTTACAATTGTAAAGAGTCTGTGTGAGAATCAATTGTAATAGGTTTATTGTACTTAGAAAACTTGAACATTTGAATTTTAGGCCATTGCTTATCATGCTTTCCCAAACTTTCAGAGGAATATGTTGAATAAGTTTATCAACAGGTACATTACTTGTAGAACATCATCATTTTACCCTTTATACATAACAGCTGATACAGTAGCTTATGTAGCTTTTTATTCTGGACCCAGATATATTTGTGCCTTCAGTATGTATCCACATTGTTGTACAATCTTAAATTGACTAAAAACCACACTTTGCTACACTGACTATTGTTTCATGTTAATTTAGTGATTTG